ATAATATATATATATATATATATATATTTAATATTTGCTATTACAGCTAATACTCATTGGGTAAATGTCAAGAAATACAATATTTTACTCCCCCTCCAAAAATAAAGGAAATTATAGATACATGAAACATGTCTAATGTATTTTATTTCACCCTAAAATTATACTATATATATATATGAATAACAATTACATAAGAATTACTAACAAAAATGGATTATATTAATGGCATTACTGGCGTCACTTCAGCAGTTTCTTGACTTTTTTTTAAACATCAAGCAACAGTCCTGACTACTATTGATCTTGGCCACTCTATAGGCTTGATTAAACCATTTCTTATGAGTTTTACCTCAGTAACTAGCTGCAGGTCATTTACATAGTTCTCCTCTGTAACAATAAGTTCATGTATGTAACCCTGCCTCTTCCGTTCCACTGGGGTCAGCATGTCGAGCAGGTGGAGGTCGGCACACCCTGGGAAACGCACAGACGTCATGCAGTCACATCTCATGCTTAGATTAATACATTACAAAAAGATTAATAAATAATTAGTACATTAATTCAGTTGTAATTTAAGCAGACAAAAATCAAGCACTTGCAACAAACTTGTATTACTTTGGTAAGAATAATACTGGAAATTAAAGCTGAATGTTTTTTCTCTGTGCATTAAGTAAGCACTAATGTATGATCATTGCAAAACAAAGGGCCTGATATGAAGCGTATTACACTTATCAAATAAATAACTGGACATGCAACATTGATTTGAGTTGAACTTACTTCATTATGTGAGAAGAAAGAGATGACGGGGTGATACGAGGCATAACTAGCAGTTATTGTAGGAACACGCTCAACTATACAAAAATATTTGACCGCAGAATGCTGCGATTGCCCAATCAGAATCAATTATTCCAGACAGCTGTGTAACTAAATGTTCATTTACTTCTATAGAATATACATGCAGGCATATTACTCAAGCAATGCTGATTTTATGCTATACGAGTCATGAATGAATTATTATTGTGCATTCAAAAACATTACGCATGTGATATTGACACAATTGCTTCATCTGGTAGCAGATTGAAAATAAATAAATAAATAAAGCCAGTCTGCAGGTGCCATGAAGTTCTTTAATGGTTACACATTTTTTATAAAGGTGGTATGACACGTTGTTTAAAGCTAGGAATTGTTGAATATTGTTGAGTTTTTAACTGTACATTCATTTTATTTTGATAAAATGCTTTAATAGTCAAGTACAACGGTTAATGTTTTGGACATTTTGGTGAGATATTCAGAACAAATGCATTTTATTACAGAGTACTGAATGGGAAGGAAGCAGTTGTGCTTCTGGATTCTAAGGATGGGTATGTTCACTTAAAATAAAAACAAAACCAAAACTTTGCAAGAGACTGATCACGGACATGATGGACAGTCCATCCAGCCAATAATAAAGCAGCAACCTCAAATACTTTTACACTGTGGAACCAATAAAGAACCACACAGACATCATTTCATGTCTTGTTTCTCAGCATTAAAATTACAACACTGATATGAGGCAGATAAAAAAAAAAAAACAGTTTGTGTGTTGCCAGTAGAATATTGTAGGAGTACAAATTAATGCCATGCTTTGTTTGCTTTCTAACAAGCAGAAAAAAACCACACTGGATGATCTAAAGGCCCTAAAACTCAGTCTCTTGTTCTTATATTTAAAAGAAAATTCCAGTCTGTCATGTTTCACTTATAAACGTCTATTTATTCATAAGCATTTGTGATTAAAAGGGTATTAAGCTTATATTCAGTACATTAATGTTTTCCTTAATGCTGTTTAGGGTTTCATTCAAAGCATGACAATGCAATTTCATAAAATTTGGACTTTCTAAATGTTCCTATTCACTACTTGTACTTTCATATTTTTGTTTTCCAGTAAAGGACGGTGTACATACTGCAGTGGATTTTTTTAACACTATGGCATAACAACTTTTGATCATTATAAAAATAGTGAGCTGTTATATCAAGAACACCTCGAAATCTAGTGTTCTCAAAAATCAACATTTCAAAAATAATTGCAAATTCAATCAACATGACAGAATGATGACAGCAAACGATTGAGAATACAAAACAAAAGCATTCATCCATCTATATGGGAAATACAATTATACAAGAAATGAACCCTCTGAAAATCCAACCATGTAAGGAAACCCTTCAAGAGTACGTCACTTCCAGCAACATTTTATACATGTACGCACTTTGTCTATCACTGTACCATTATCCTTAAGTGGCAGTTGTGCAGTTGTTTTTTGGTTTGCAACACCAATTCTCAACCCCATCACACAAACCCAACGAAACAAAACAATCAAAATCAAATAAAAAAACAAAAACCAAACAAGAGACTAGCAAGCACAAAAGAAAAGAAAAACCACAATGTGCAAAATCTTTACGAGCTAGGAGAACTAAATGAACTCTGCAAGACACTTTTCACAGGACGCCACAATGACAAGGACACCGGCATGCAGGCAGAGAGAGAAAGAGAGATGAGAGTCTACTTAATGCTCTACAACATGAGGTGAGAGGTTGACTGGAAACAGGAAGAGGAGGGGCTTCGGTGTGGACAATGGACGCTCTGTAACTCACCACATCGTGAGGACATAAACTAATTTTGAGAAGGTCCTCAAAGATTTGAAAGAAATGACTGTGTTGGCACAGTCCATTTAACTGGATGTTATTGGTGACGCTTCAAGCCAATTGTCTCTCAAAGGATTTCAGAATTGATTTGTTATCTCTAAGTTCTTCGAACAGGATAGAGAGAGGATCAGTGTGAGTGCATGTATAAGATACAGGAAAACGTTCTGGACTCACATTGTTGGCTGGGGTCTGTGTCGGTGGTCAGCTTAACGTAGTTTGATGGGAAAAGGCCAATGGAACCATTCAGCTCTCCCTTCCACCAATCAGGATCCTCTCTGCTCAAAACACTGATGATTTGGCCCTTCCCGAAAGGCAGCTCATCCTCGTTTTGAGCCGTGTAATCATACATGCCAATCACCTGGCACACTATGGAGGGGAAACACAAACGCACATGTAAAATGTGTTTTTGTCCAACTGTAGTTCATCTTCACATATTTTCCAACTACTGACAAATTAATTTCAGAATCTCTATTTCTATATTTATTCTTGAATAATATAATATAATACATTTATTCCTGATTACTGGAGTATTTGCTTAGCTATTTGGTAGATCGCCTTTATTTATCAACCATGAGGACATGCAAATACTATGAAAAACAGAGCTGATGATGGTGTGTAGGCAGCACTATACAAGTAACCTAGCCTGTACTAAATGACAAGAGGCAACATGCTCAAGCTTGACATACTTAAATGCTTAAACGTGTTAATTATAAAAAGAGCAAAGTACAAAAGTCAACATCTGTGCCAAGTTACATGTACCTGCATTGGGTGTTGGCAGCTTGGGTGGGTTGGGCTCTGTGGGTGTGGTCTTACTGGTGCTGGGGCTCAATAATTTTACATAATTAGCTGGAAACCAGCCAATCTGACGCTTCTTTCCTCTTGCCTGGAGAAAGCAACAGCAGTGGGCCATTAAAACGAATCTAATGTAAAAATTTAGAAATCTAATTTATGAGGAACAACATCTCACTGACATCACCATATCATATCATTCCACAAGCACTGATGTCATAAATTAAATTAAGTAAATCTGAGCACAAATAAGCAGATGTAATATTACAGAGCACCAAATATATTTTGCTTCTATAACTAAAGATTCTATTAAATGTTTATGGTTTGTGTTATTGTGGTAGAAAGTGTGGGTGTATTTAATAGCATCTGTGTTATTCAGACCTGAAGTTCTCCTTCCCACCATCCTCCTGGGTTTTTCTTTCGAATAAGAATGAGCTGGCCTGGTGCTAAAGTGAGCTGCTCTGCCCCGGTGGCCGCATACGGAGCGATCACTTGGGCAATCTCTGAACACAGAAGAAAAACACAGGTAAAAGGAGAAAAAACTAGAGTAGAGAACCATTGACCAGTAAAATACTGTTATGGTGTAATTATGAAGGCCACAAAACTGCTGCTTAAAGGTTTAGGTGTTTTTTTCCCACCTAAACCTCAAACATTAACTAAGCCAACATAAAAGTTACATGGTACAAGATTTATGAGCGAGTTATAGCATGAGGACATCAGCACCCACCTGGTTTCTTCCCTAAACTTCCTGTTTTTCCAGCAGATCCCAAACCCTAGAAAAAAAGTGTAAAGAATGCTATTGTTATGATTTTTTTCTGGTTGAAAAGGTTCCTTATTTGACTACAATAACAATTTTTTTTCATGCAAATTATATCAAAAGTACCTCGGATTCTTTAGGCTTGACATAATTTGAGGGGAAGACTCCAGTCTTCCCGCCCACAGTCCCAGTCCACCAATCTCCTTCTTTCTTTGTGACCGTGATGACATCACCTTGCTGGAAGGTCAAGTCACCCTGCTCACTGCTTTCATATGTATACATGGCCACATACTCTGTGATTATACAAAATCATACAAAGACTTTCAGATACAAAATGATTAAGGAGAGAGGGAGAAATGCATGATCCATCGAGCTGTTGCTGGTAATCTGACCTTCTCCGAGATCTGTGGGTTTGTTTGGAGATGGGCTGGGTCTCTTAACACTGGGAGGGCTATCTGAAGAGCCGGATTCAATACTGAAACAGACCAATGGCACTCAAAACTCAAAATCACAGTCTGGATGAAACGCCTAACTGTGTGCTCAATATCACTTTTTGTAATAAAACTGGTACTTCATAATGGGGTCACAATTGTTGCGTTTATTATTATGTTATGCTCGAAAAGTGATAAACATATTTATTACAACATATTACAAATATAATGTTATAAATGCGTGCTATTTTGCACAGATGCATTGACAAAAACAAAAATGAACATTTCAATATGCTAACATCTAATAAAAATCACCAATATTAGCCAAGAACCAATATGGTAACGATATATCGCCAAGATACACACCTCATAGATTTCCGGACGGGCCCAGAGATGAGTTTGACGTAAGATTTGGGGAACCATCCTCTCTGCCCTTGCACCTCCCCAAACCACCACATATCCTGCTGCTCCAGGACGGTGATCACGTCATTCTTGTTAAAGTTTAGGTGATTGTCTTTCTTGGCTCTCCATGGATACAAAGCCTGTGCCTGCAGACCCTCCACCTTTTCACCCTGGAAACAAGACAGACAGCAAGAGTTTTCAAAAATGAAACTAAAAAAAGATCAGCAGCAATGCACTCACAAGATCTTAGCACCTAAACATAACGACCATTTAAGGAAATGATGAACAATGCTATGATGCTTTTCATATGCAGCAACAAAGTAACAGCCTGAAAGAAATAGGCCTTATAAACTTTAAAGCAATAGTTCATTTGCTAGAAAATGTGCTTAATTTTACCCTCAGGCCATTCAAGATGTAGATGAGTTTGTTTCTTCATCTGAACATATTTGGAGAAATTTAGCATTACATCAATTGCTCACCAATGGATCCAGTGAATGGGTGCCGTCAGAATGAGAGACCAAACAGCTGATAAAACATTACAATAAACCACAAGTGACCCACACGACTCCAGTCCATCAATTAATGTCTTGTGAAACAAAAACTGTAACAAACAAATCCATCAATAAGATTGACTTGTATTTTGGCCAGAAGCAATGGTTTAAAAAGCCTTAATGATGGATTTGTTTATTACAAACACAGCTTTTCGCTTCATAAAACGTTAACTTATGGACTGGAGTCATGTGGATTACTTGTGGATTATTGCGATGTTTTTATCAGCTGTTTGGACTCTCATTCTGTCAGTGAATGCAGAGGGTGTTGGCATTAATTGATGGACTGGAGTCGTGTGGATTATTGAGATGTTTTATCAGCTGTTTGAACTCTCATTATGACAGCACCCATTCATTGCAGTGGATCCACTGGTGTGCAAGTGATGTAATGCTAAATTTCTAATTTCTATAGAAACAAACTCATCTACATCTTGAATGGTCTTTTGAAATTTTTTAAAGCAATTATTCCTTTAAAATGCATTGGGTAGAGTAATTTTCCATCTATACAGATTTATTTAATATAAGTAGTTAAGAAAATATAAGAAATTTAACACAAAAGATCATTAATATGGACAGGGGCAGAGTATATATACCTGGCCGAGCACAGGTGAGGGTGAGGAGCCGGAGAGCGTTGCCGGGGTGAAAGCAGAGCGTTGTCTGATCTGCCCTCCACTGGGCACTGACAGGGACGGCTGAGTGGGCTGGGTCGGCCATGCATCCCATCCATCGCTGTCCTGCTTCTCCACAGCGGAATTAGTTGGCCATCTGCATCAAAGTCACATGAGCATAGAATCAAAATGGATGCAAATAAAAAAAAAATCTGTAAATAAATGTCTTTGCTAGTAAAATTTTTTTATTGGACAAATTACTTACGTAGTGCTGAAATCTGCCCAGTTACTGGATGTTGAGGAAGAGGAGGAGGCGGGGCCTGGAGGGGCAGGGGCTGAGGAGGGCGGGGCTATCGATGCAGACTCTGTGGAGACTGAATGCAAGGGTGCGGCTGTGGTTGTTGAAGCAGATGACATATGGGAACCCAATTTAGGAGCAGAACTAGAAGCAGTGCTAGCTCTCAAACTAAGAGGAACTTCAGATTCTGGAATCTTCTCTGCATAATTGGCAGGGAACCAGCCAGTCCTCCCTTTAATCTCTCCTCCTAACCATCCAGGCTCACCTGTCTGAGACTCATCCACCTGACAGAACAGAAACACAAGAGAAAGCAAATGAGAGACATAAAAACAGGATGTGACAAAACAATAAATCACAAATAATTGGGTGATAAAGAATCACAGGGAACCACAGCATCTTAATAAACATCAGAAAAACATGAACTGGAATATACAGAGCACTGTGACTGTATGTGATGAAACAAAGGACTCATTTAATTGATTTAATACAGGAAATGGATTAAATGGTCATGGCATCCCAGAGGCATTATCTCTGAGTGATCTAATGGCAAACGCAGCAAAGCCTCTGAAATCTTGCAAAAGACTCAACAACAGACACAGACATTTAGCCACATATTATGATCTCTGTACAAGGTCTGTTTCAGCTCAGTGACAGTTGACCAAAACAGAGAACATCAAAGACAAACTAGAAATGAATAAAAGTGCACAAGGAGCAGAATCCTCGACTTACCCACTCTCCCTTCACCTTCAGGCAGAGAGAGCAAAGGGAGCATAGAGGCAGGGTCAGAGGTCAGTAAATGTACAAACTAGCAGCACACATATAGGCTATACTCTCTCACACAAAGCAAAGACAATCTCGCACACTCTCTGGCAAGCACACATCAGAACTATGGCTGTTGATTTAACGCGTCAACTTGGTGCAGTTAATTTTCAAACAAATAACATGTTAAAATTATTAAAGCATTTAATACACCCACCCTGGCACAGACCGAGACATCATCTTACATTATTACATGCAATGTATTTATTTCTAAAGCTACTTTTGTAATGTCTAATAATGCTTTTCTCATTTAACACAATACTGACTTTATCTTTGGGGGTAATTTCTCAACCAAAAGTGATGTGTGATTCATTTGCGATTTATTAGATTAATTAATCAGCACATCATACAATTAACCTACTTTAAAACTTTAATGGCAGCCTAATCATAAAATAAAAGCACACACTGTAGGGCTGAAACTATTCCTTAGTATAACAGTAAACAACAGAGTAATTATATGCAAAATGCAATAGTAATTATAATAATATAAAAAAACATAAAATTAAATAATTGTGGATACATTCAAAAGTGTAGATTGGTAAGATTTTTTAATTGTTTTTTTAAAAGAAGTAATTTACACACACCAAGACAGCATTTATTTAATTAAACTACAGTAAAAACAGCAATGTTGTCAAGTATTATTATCACATTTTACATGAACTGTTTTCTATTGTAATATTTTTTATGTAATTTATTCCTGTCATGGCAAAGCTAAATTTCAGCATCATTACTCCAGACTTCAGTGTCACGTGATCCTTCAGAAATCATTTTAACATGCCGATGGATCCACTGGTGTGCAAGTGATGTAATGCTAAATTTCTGATATAGAAACAAACTCATCTACATCCTGAATGGTCTGAGAGTCAATTATCAAATTTTCATTTCTGGGTTTGAATTATTAATTTAAAATGCATGTATGTATTCAATAAGTAGTTAAGAAAATATAAGAAATCTAATGCAAAAATTCATTAATGTGGATGGGGCAGTTTTTTAGAGAGTATATGTACCTGGCCGAGCACAGGTGAGGGTGAGGAGCCGGAAAGCGTGGCTGGGGTGAAAGCAGAGCGCTGCCTGATCTGCCCTCCACTGGGCACTGACAGGGACGGCTGAGTGGGCTGGGTCGGCCATGCATCCCATCCATCATTGTCCTGCTTCTCCACAACAGAATTAGTTGGCCATCTGAATTAAAGTCACAAGAGCACAGAATCAAAATGGATGCAGATACACCTGAACTGAAAAAAAAAAAAAAAAATATTTAATTAAACTACAGTAAAAACAGCAATGTTGTCAAGTATTATTATCACATTTTACATGAACTGTTTTCTATTGTAATATTTTTTATGTAATTTATTCCTGTCATGGCAAAGCTAAATTTCAGCATCATTACTCCAGACTTCAGTGTCACGTGATCCTTCAGAAATCATTTTAACATGCCGATTTGCTGCTCAAGAATGTTCAAAACTGCTTACCATCACTATATCTCCAGGATGGATGGTGATTTCATCATGACTGCGGGCATCAAAGGGATACAGTGATCTATAGTAGACCACCTTTACCATCTCCTGATTAAAGTCAGACACTGGAATCTTATCTATATCAGAAACACAAAAGTTATGAGTTATGCCATTTAGGGTGAGCTTAAAGGGGTCATATGATGCGATTTCAATTTTTCCTTTCTCTTTGGAGTGTTACAAGCTCTTGGTGCATAAAGAAGATCTGTAAAGTTGCAAAGACTAAAGTCTCAAATCCAAAGAGATATTCTTTATAAAAGTTAAGAGTCAACCACGCCTACCTAAAACGACAAATGCAGACATGGTTTTATGTTACGCTCCGGCCGGACAGGGCATGACAATATGGTAAGGGGTTTAATATTTCCGTCAAACGCTTGAGGTATTCGGCCAATCACAACGCACTGGATAGCTGGCCAATCAGAGCACACCTTGCTTTTCAGACCGATGAGCTTTGTAAAAATTAACGCGTTTCAGAAAGGCGGGGCATAGAGGAGAAACAATAATGTACAGTATGTGGAAAATAATGTTTTTTTAACCTTAAACCGCATAAACACATTTCATTACACCAAATACACAAAATAATGTTCTTTTTAGCAGCATCAAATGACCCTTTAACATGTCTCAATATAAATAAACAACCAAAAAGCAGCTGCCAAACAGTCCAATTCATGTCTGTCTGGTTCAACAAGCATCTTTGTCTCACCTGCCATAGACCAGGGGGACCGAGTCTGTAATTTTCCAGATTGCGGATGCTGTGTGAAGAGTTTGGAGAGGTTATCCTGTACTTCGGCTCTGCTGTGGTTCTCCTCTTCACTCACTTGGCTTATCCAAGCCTGAGTCGCAGGAGGAGTGGGAGCTTTACCCAGCCCATCATCTCTCCATGCAGGAGACATGCCATCTTCTGTCCCTGACAACCTGAGGGAAAAGTGAGGGACAAAATGAATGCCTGTTAAAAGAGTCAAATAAAAAAAAATTCTGCAAAGAACAGCCATGGAAGGACAAAAAATACCTAGACTCTTGTAATTCTGTGGACTTCCTGTCGTGCGACGGCTGGGTGATGTCAGCCTCCAGCTCCTTTTGTTTCTGCCTCTGTTGTTTGTTGTGGATTTCTCTCAGCTCCTGCAATGCATGATGGGATATTGGAGGACAGGTAAGGGAGAGTATAGGGGGCAACGGGGCTCTGTTTGCGCTCTCTCTCACACTCAGACATGTTCGCAGCTGTGCCCTGCAAGTGCTGTCTGGACAATCTGTTCGAAGTCTCAGTCACATAGTCTCTAGTTATTTCTATACAGGAATCATATTTCTGACTATAGCTTATAGGTGATCATCTTAAAATATTGAAAAAATTAGATCGTCTTTTCCAGACTATTTGATACTTTCTGCTATCTCTAAACGTTTTCATTTTTTAAAATAGAAAATGTAAAAAGAGTACACAGCATATACGTACACTTTGTGTGCTTGACTGTGTGATTCATGTAACCATTTATTATGTTCATGAATGGCTGGCAAATGACTCACTAATGTAACAATTGACTGACAACAAACTCAACGCATTTATATTTCAATACTGTAAAGGTGCAGCTCAATAAATTAGAATGTCGTGGAAAAGTTTATTTATTTCAGTAATTGAGATGCACCTGTATGCGTAAATCGTACACTTGCATGGTACATGGTGCAAACTGCATAGCGATTGCTTTCATAATGGCAAGCTGCAATGCCTGCTGGGTAATGTCACATGAACCACAGAAGTCACAAGAGCGGAAACAACAGACTGTTTCAGCAGACCAATGTAATGCCAGACCATTCCACCAATAAGCAGGTTCTTTGGGGAAACACCATAAGGATATGGTAAAGGAGTCATTTTTTTTTTTTTTTTAGATATTAAACTGACAGATCTGTTGATAACATATACTTATTATTACTTATGAACATTTCTGTTCAATGTTGAATGCCACATAAGCACAATTGACACATCGAATTATACAATCAAGAAAGATCACCGCAAGCGGTTTGGTAACAGACAGACCATAGAAAGACAGAGAGAGTTAACCATTCAATTGTAAAACACACATATACACACACCAAACCAGTGTAAAAGGGTGTGAGTGTTTAGATTTCATGAACCAGACATGCACTTTTTAATGCATTTGTAAATCCACACACTGAAAACGTAAGATTTGCTTCTGTTAGCAACTTCAGACAATTTATTTCTTCTTTCTTTTTAAATGTAATTTTTGCCGGGAAAGCCTGTATAGAATTTACTTGATCACAAGAAGATCAATGTAACTAAATGACATGAACCTATACAATTATTAAAAAAATTAAATAATGTGAACTAAAACTATTTAGATTATATCCACTGCTGCATATTTGTCAATCTCTGAAGAATGTTTAAATTCCAAAATCAATGGTTCAGTATCCAACTAACCAACTAATTAAATAAATGCTAAAATCCTAGCCAATGGAAATAAAGACAGATAACTGCATTACAATGTGTCTCAAACTGGTGTATAGGAATTTACAGCTAGCTACTCTATTTAAAAAAAAACTGAAAGTCCAGAAACTACTCAAAATAAATGTTCTCCTCAAGTGACTAGAATGTAAATATAAAATGACGCAGAAAATTCTGTAATGGCTGCTAAGAGATTTCAAAGGATGTATTAAAAAAAAAGCTTATTGTCCAGGTTAATGCATAAGATTTTGGAATTAAAGAGATAGTTCACCCAAAAATAAAAATTCTGTCATTAATTACTCACCCTCATGTCGTTCCAAACCCGTAAGTAGTGTTGTCAAAAGTACCGAGTTCGGTACTAGTCGGTACTGAAATTTTTTTCATTTACATTTGAGAGCTGTTGAGTTGATTCTTAAACACTGCTGATTTGCCACTGTGTTCAAACGGTCAACATATATGACTCTGATTGGCTACAATGATCATCTCTTCACGCTCTTCACCAATAGCTCACACAGAAGCACACGGGAGTGTTTGAAAGCCACGTCTGTCAGCGGATCCCTACTATATCTGCACATAGACGAATCCGCTGACAGACGTGGCTTACAAACACTTCGTGTGCTTCTGTGTGAGCGCTCAGTGAAGAGCGTTCAAATGTTAGTAGGAAATGGACTTTTTATAATTTCAGTACTGACTGGTACCAAAGTCTGTATTTTTGACAACACTATCCATAAGACCTTCGTTCATCTTCGGAACACAAGTGAAGATATTTTTGATGAAATCTGAGAGCTTTCTGACCCTGTATAGACAGCAAGGGAACTACCACGTTCAAAGACTGCCCAGAAAGGTAGTAAGGACATAGTTAACATAGTCCATGTGACATCAGCGGTTCATCCATAATTTTATGAAGCTATGGGAATACTTTTTCTGCATGAAGAAAACAAAAATAATGTTTATTTAACAATTTCTTCTCTTCCATGTCAGTCTTCCAACGCCTGTTCATGAGAGTACCAAGAATAAAGTTATTTTTATTTTTTGCACTCAAAAAGCGTTCTCGTAGCTTCATAAAATGAAGGGTGAACCACTGATGTCACATGGACTATTGTATCAATGTCCTTAGTACTTTTCTGGGCTTTGAACATTTCAGTTGCGTTACTGTCTATGCAGGGTCAGAAAGCTCTCGGATTTCATCAAAAATATCTTAATTTGTGTTACGAAGATGAACAAAGGTCTTATGGGTTTGGAACGACATGAGGGTGAGTAATTAATGACAACATTTTCATTTTTGGGTGAACCTTTAATTGATGCATGTCTTGGGGGGGGAAGCAGCATGATCAACCTTGCGCATAATTATGATGATCTGTCTCAGATCAGTGCACAAAAAGGCTTAGCTTTCTACTGATACGTGAAGGTTTAGAATAGCTACAGTGCTGCCTTTGATGGGCTTCTCAAATGGCGCTTTTCCACTGCGTGGTACAACTCGGCTCGGCATGGCTCAGTACGGCACGGCACGGCTTGGATTGCGTTTCCACTGCAGTTTAGTACCGCTTTAGAGTGGGCGGGATTATTCACATGTCGTTATAGTTGCGCCGCCTCGACTGCCGCGACTCCTGAAAAACTTTTTCAATCCGCGTCGCCCCATCAAGCTCTCGCTGGATCCGCTCCTCGGCTACCAACGAGAGGGACGTCTGTACTTCCTCAACAGACAACGAAACAGCCATTTTTTGGTTGTTAAAAAAAAAGATGCGCTCGTTCAAAAGTTGCGTTCGATCCTTCGCTGGCTGTGCTGATTTAAATCTAGCGGTTCGGTTGTGTCTCGTGTCGCAAGTTCAGTGACGATTCTCGATTCGGCCAATCAGTGATCAGCAGAGTTTACACGTCACGTCACAGTTCACTTGGAACCTCAACCGAGGAGGTACTCAAAAAAGTACCAGGTACTGTACCCAGTGGAAAACCCCCCAAAAGTGAACCGCACCGAACCGTACCGTACCATGTAGTGGAAAAGCACCAAAAGGGAGATGGAGGAGGTGCAGTGAAACACACGAGCAGGGGACATGGTGTAGTGTGAAATCAAAGGTCAGGGGGGAGAGGGAGGGATGACCTGGAAGTAGAAGTGTATATGCTTCAAACAGGCCAGCAGTGCTGCGAGACAGTCCAACAGCACCTCGTCCACAGAGCTCCCTGACTGCAAGAGACACAGAGCCACCCATATTTATTTCTTTATTTAGTCATTTATTCGATTATTTTATAATCTATAAATTTTCATTATCCATATGGTGACGATTCAAAGGTCACACCACCATCATCATCATTGTGTTTGCACTCTGTTCTGATGTGTACTCAGCTCTACACAATGCAGAGCCTCTTAAGTTTAGAGCGAGAAACAAACGGAGCAGACACATCTCAACCAAAGCAGAGCAGTGAAGCCTTTGCTCTGTTAATTAGTGCGAGCTACAGGCTTGAAAAAAAAAAAATCTCCAAAAGTATTACTTCAGGAATATTATTCATCAGGGCTCAACAATAAAGATGGACCCATGTCACAGAGTCAGTACGAGAGACTTAAATTCTGCCGTCATCATGACAACTAGCACACATCTTGTTTTCCAGTCCCACCAGGATTCCACTTGACAAAAGACTGATTTTGAAATTTCCAGAATTTTGTTTATACTTAATATAATTTTGAATATAATGACCCTTATTTTATTTATATTTTTTTACTTTATTTTTATGTACTTCAACACAATAATAATCAAACAACACTACTTCATGGGTACATACATAAATATTTTTCCCAAAGTATAACATAAAAAGTAAAAAAAATTTCAGTCTGGTCAACTGGTTACGATATAAGCAAATATTTGTAAGCATTTATACGTGAATATTTGTGGTCATACATTCATAAACATAATACTCATTTATTTAGGCTTACTATCAAGCAGCCGTTGATCCTAATTACATACATTTACATTAATGAATATACATATTTCACTTTGGCATTTATCTGTCTTCTCTCTGTTTTGATATATAGATTGTCCATTTTCCCCAGTGTTTCTTAAAAGTCTCTTCTTGCAGTCTCAACCTGAATGTCAGTCTTTCCATCTTGTAAATTTCTGTAACTATTTGTTCCCACTGAGTTCTTGTTGGGGGAGGCTGCTGGAGCCATAGTAGAGTAATCGCTTTTTTTGCCGCTGCTAGTAGAATCCTGAGTAGATATTTATTCCTATTATTAACTGAATCAGCAGTTATTCCTTTTTGTGTCCAGCTTTGAAACCTTTTATCCATTTGAGCGGGGTAGAACTGAGAATCATAACCAATCCAACTTCATCTGATACTCTAGTTTGAACTTTCTCATCAATTTATACAATAATTCTAAACCACATTTTGTCTACTGCGTTATGTTTTCAGATATCTCTTTAAATTTATTATCATCACCTAAAAGTGACTGAACTGGAATTTGCAAGATTTCCAATTGTTTCCAATTGGCAGTATAGGTTGAATCACAGCAACATAGCAAATTTCTCAGTTGGGCAGCAATATAATAGTCTTGAAGGCATGGCAGGGACCGTCCTCCTTTTTCTTTTGCTAACTGTAGAGTTTTAAATTTAATCCGTGGTTTTTTACTATTCCAAATAAATCTAGAAATTATTTTATCCCATAATGACCCTTATTAAAGCTTCTAAATTCCACCAAGAGCAGTGTGTCATTTTTCTTTTGTTGTTTCATTAACAGCAATGTCACAGACAGCAGCAGGTATATTAGGCTGCTGTAACTTTAAGAACTAATGCACATACCCACGTGATGATACACATCCGATTTTCTATCAACTATTTATGTTCACTTAACTGACATGAATACTTTGCATGACGGGCATTTTGACATCACTTTGTGTGTATTTGACCATTCAAGCATGTGACAGACTTCTGCGTGCGTGCGTGCTTTGAGTATGTGTCAGTCAGTGCATAAGTACCGCATTGAGTTATACTTTGCGGCTTAATGCGCTTAACTTTTTTAAAATATCAAGTACACCCCATGCTTTATTTTTTTTTTCATTCATACATGTTTCTTTATCATACCAATGTGTTAATAACTGTAAGTAGTACTGTGATTATATTGCAATCCCTAAAAAATGGAAGGAAACGGTTTTCCAATGGATCAGTGGCCCAGCAATCAACACAACACATGTATTTCTAAATACATTTATGCCATATTTTAAATCAGTTTAAAACAAACTTTCCAAATCAACTGATTATTTTATTTGTTAATTATTATTTACTAATTATTATTATTAGGTGTTTTGTAGTATTTTAATTTTGGTCATTCTTAATAAAAATGTGACAACAGCAAGTAAATATCTGAGCAGATAAAAAAATCTTTATTGTAGAGCCCTGTTGATGCCTTAGTAAAGGGAAGTAGTCAAGACAAGAAACAACTGGAAGTGTGCTACTCTAAGTCCCCTCATACAGGGCAAAAGAGAGCACAGTGCTGTGAGTAGAGGGTAATAGTTTGGTGGTAGTTTTCTGGGGGTTAACAGCATTATCAGGTTGTCTACCTGCCGCCCCCTCTGCTCTTCAATAAGTAGCTCCGATTGCAGGTTCTCCATCCTAGCAGCGTGGGTCTCATAGAACAGCCCCAAGGACTGTACCACCACGAAGGGTAAAGCAGCATGAAGCATGGTCAAGTCAGAACAAAGAGGGCCAGCCAAACCGTATAAACATGGTGGAGGGAAGGGTTGAGAGGGAGTCAGCCAGGATGAACGGAGGATGAGGAGGATGAAGGGCAGGGTGACAGAGTGAGCAGCAGGCAGATACAGTGAGAGAGGAACAAGAGATTGTGTGATGCTGTGAAAATGCTTCTACTTTATCACACACTCTCTTTCTCTTATTCTGAAGGTACATTAAAACAAAATTAAGAGTGTTCTGTTGGTTTCATTAAATACACTGGGTGAAAGCTCAATGATGTCTCAAAATGCACTCTCTCTTACTTCCTCTTTCATTCGCACAAACACACAGGGTCCAAAATGAACATTTTGCCCCAACTATCAATGGTGAGTGACTTGAGCAAATTTACTGGACACAATTTTTTCTTACTGGCCACGAAACAGCTATATATGATAAATTGCTTGCTGTAAGTATTTAGATGACATTTAAAATGTTTTTTTTTTTCAGTAGAAGGTTATTTGAATCACTTGCATCACAATTACAGAAAATTCATTTCTATGATGTATTGTAATAGCTCTAACAAACTGGTGAGTTATTCAATTTGATTTATTCATCAAAGCCAATTTTTACTTACATTTTGCACCCTGCACTCACACAATGCAGAACATAAAATTACAAAAATGCCAAGTATAACAAACAAATAACACTACTGAAGACAAAATGATCTGTCTGTTTGTGTGTGTGTGTTTAGGTCTTTCAGGGCTTCAGTACTACCTCTTTAATTAGGTAACCACATAAGATGAGTAGATACCAGCTAAACGGTTTAATTTATGCTACTGTCACTTTGGATCATGGATACTTCACAAACACACAACAGCACTTGTGTTTGTTGCTTTAGACGATGCAAACATATCCAAAAGCAATTTACTCAGAGAAAGACATACTAAACTGTGTGACAGAAGCAGAAAAGATGCAAAATATACTTAAGTTTTGGCAGAATTTGCTGGTGAACATCAAAGCTCAGAGTCTGGAATACACTTTCATTCCAGCCAAATTCCAACATGAAATGGACTCTGGTTTGCGCACCAAAATGTCTAGTGTGATAATATCTAACCAGATCTTTAAAGCAGTGTTGAGGAAAATGCTCTTACTGTGCAGACTGTTCTGCTGAACCTGCTTCAGCTGGTCATTCAGACACTGTTTGTCAGGAATCAACCGACTCAACCACTGTTGAGACTCCTGATGGAGACAAAAAAACATAAAATTACAAAAATGCCAAGTATAACAAACAAATAACACTACTGAAGACAAAATGATCGGTCTGTTTGTGTAAGTGTGTGTGTTTAGGTCTTTCAGGGCTTCAGTACCTTCAGTTGTGTGTTGAAGGAGTCTATCTCCAATAGTTTGGAACGTGTCTCCTTCTCCACAGTGTCCAGCTGTTCTCTCAGCTGCTGTTTGGTCGATTCCTTCATTTCAATGGCCCTCTGAAGACTGGACAGAGAGTCTCCTACAAAGCAGAAATAATCAGACCACTACTAAAGAGCATTCCTGAGAGATTAACATCCTCATGAACTATTCTGCAGAACAATTTATTTTTCACTCCTCTACACCAATATATACAAAAAGAAGCTTTTATCATCAATGCTTAGTTCACCAATCTGATTATATAAGTTCTTGAATATTTTCTTTCCTCTGTGACCTAAGGTGTTGTTTTCATGTTCAATCAGCTCAATTGTCGTTTGTAATTGTTCCTGCAGTACTAGAAGTGACCAGTCAGCAACTCCTTTTACAGATTACAGTGATTATAGATCACTGTTTGTTTTAAGTGTTACAAATGCTTTATGTGGGCGCGTTGAGGGCGAGAACTCAGAACACACCTTGATTTGAGTGTCCTAAATTTCAACCGGTTTGCAAAGCAAAGACGTGTTGGGCTGATCATCAATTTTAATCCCAGATATTTTATAGAAACTTTGACAAACTTTGAAATAAATATAGCAGAAGACAGAACCCCACATGCCACCACCAAACAGATTCATTTTATTTTTTCCTGAGTCTGTG